TGTAAATTATTACATATGCCTGAGTGGGTTTTTTTGTTTGTGTGTTTTTTAAAAATCTAAAGTGGATAGAGAGAAATACTTTTAACTGATGGTATATGGAGGGGATTATAATTATTGTATTGAAACAAATTTTATGAATTGTTGAATGTGAAACTGATGATGTGCCCTATAAACTTTCACTTAATCCACAATAAAAACCTTAAAAAGAATAAAGAAGCTATTATACCTCATTGGAAGATTCAGCAAAGTGGCAGGATAGAAGATCAACATATTAAAATCAAGCAATACCATTTACAATAGCCGCCCAAAGGATGAAATATCTAGGAATAAATGTAACCAGAGAAACAAAGGACCTATTCAAAGAAAACTACAAAACAGTACTATAAGAAACCGAAAGAGACCTACAAAAATGGAAGGATGTACCATGCTCCTGGATAGGTAGACTTAACATTGTGAAAATGTCAATACTGCCCAAAGCAATTTACACATATAATGCAATCCCATTCTAGATTCCAATTACATTCTTCAAAGAGATGGGAAAAAAATTACAAATTTTATGTGGAAAGGAAAGAGACCCAGGATAAGCAAAGCATTGCTTAGGAAGAAGAATAAGGTTGGAAACCTCTCACTCCCTGATTTCAAAATTTCTTACACAGCTACAGTGGTCAAAACAGCTTGGTACTGGTGTAATGAAAGATATGTTGATCAGTGGAACAGAGTCAAGAATCCAAAAATTAATCCATCCACATACATTCAACTGGTTTTCAACAAAGTGCCTAAATATATCGCCTGGGGGAGGTGATAGTCTGTTTAATAGATGGTGCTGGCAGAACTGGAAAGTGATAAGCAAATGATTGAAACAAGACCTTTACCTCACGCCTTATACAAAAACCAACTCAGCATGGATTAAAGACCTAAATGTGAATCCTACAAGTATGAAGGCCATCAATGAAAAAATAGGACAAATGTGAGGACTCTAATTCAGAGCACATGTAGACCACCAAACATTGTGAAAATAACACAAACAAAAGTAGACAAAATAGGTGATTGGGACATACTGAAAATTAAAAACTTATGTGCATCAAAAGACTTCACCAAAAGAGTAAAAAGGGAACCTACAGAATGAGAAAAAATCGCAACAACACATCAGAAAAGGGACTCATTTCTAAAATACATAGGAAACTACAACATTTCTACAAGAAAAAGACAAATAACCCAATTAAAAATAACAATGAGGTATCATCTCACACCAGCAATAACAGGAAAGATAAAAAACGTAGAGGACAATAAATGCTGGTGAGGATGTGGAGAGACTGGAATGCTCCTGCATTGCTGGTGGGATTGCAAAATGGTCCAACATCTCTGGAAAGCAATATGGTGCTTCCTCAGAAAGTTGGAAATAGAAATACCTTATGATCCAGCAATTCCTCTACTTGGTATTTACCCATAAGAAATACGAGTCATAACATGAGTAAATAGATGCACACCAATGTTCACAGCAGCACTATTTACAATAGCAAAAAGAAAGAGACAGCCTAAGTGTCCATCAATTGAAGAATGGATAAGCAAACTGTGGTACATACATATAATGGAATATTACTCTACCTTGAAGAACAAGGAAGCTGTAAGCCACCACATAACATGGATGATGTTGAGTGAAAATAGCCAGTCACAAAAGGAGAAATATTGCATAGGATCACTATTGTAAAAGACTAAGAAAAAAAACCCACACTAAAAACAGGGAGAGGGATTCTTTGCTGGCTACTGGTATGTGGGGGTTGGGGAAGGGGAGGAAGGGGAAGGTGGAGCACAGGGTAGGGAATAAACACAGGATAGTTTGGGTGCTGGGGAGGGAAGCAATACACAGGAAGGCGGAGGGGAATGGAAGAACAAAGCAGATGGGAGAACCATTAGGCAGGTTTGCATGGGCTAAGTGGGACAGAGGTAAATAATGATGTATGCACACCCTTGGAACAACAGGGCTCTGGGATACAGGGATTGATGCATGGTTTAAATGGGTAAAAGAGGGAAAATAATATTAAGATGCTTGGATGTCTTTTGAATCTTGGTTTCCCTTGCACGCCATTATAAAATAGACACATGAGGGGGAGAGATAGGAATAGCTAGAAATATTACGATAGAAAGCTTATAAATCCGTCTTCTGCCTATAACTGATTGTTGTTGTTGTTAAGTGCCATCAAGTCTATTCCGATCCATAGTGACCCTGTATAGGGTTTCCAAGGAGAAGCTGGTCAGCTTGAACCACCTACCTTGCAGTTCAAACAACTTTGGAGTCTGATGTATTAGCCCATAGCACCACACCAGGACTCTAAAATGGGGCTACAACTTGCCCAGTGAAGGAGGCTTCCTGTGGAGCCTCTGCATTGCATAAGACCATAGGTGGACTCCTGAACCCCATCCAGAATCTTCTGAGGTGGGAAATCTCTAATTGATACGACAAGCAGAACAGCCTAGAGCGGCTAGAAGAACAGAAGATACTTCTTGAAAGAAAGACTGACAGGAATAATAAACAACAATAATGGCAGTCTGACTGATTACTACAAGAACAAGCAAGTTGCTTGCCCAGGAGACATCAAGGCAAGTGGTCAGGTCCCCTCAGGGCAAACCCCTTTCCAAGACTAAGACTCAAGCAGACTTGTGCTCTGACTGGTGACCACATTGGTCACCGATAAGGGGAAGTGAGGGGAAAACAATGAAGCTGCAAGCTAAGTCCTACCACGTTCAACAGACGCCTGTAAACCTGCGGGGAGACCTAGTTGGCCAGCAGTTTGGCAAAACCTGGGGACTCCCTGGGCCCAGAGTCAGTGACACAGCCACAGAGGACTAGAGTGGAGAGTGAAGCGTCCAGCTGATAAGAAGAGAGGGCTTATGCACAAGAACACCCACACCTGCAGATAATACCCACTTGATCTGACTTCAGTGGCTGGATGATCAGAACTCAACTAGAAGAGAAGAAAGAAGAAGGGAAAAAAGAGTAATCTGACACAATTTGATGAACTTGACCTACACCTATGAATACAGTAGCTCAAAAGAGGGAACAAATCTTTACAGAGAGGATCATTCCCACCCCCTTGATACACAGGGTAGATAGGGATGGGAAACTTTGACATTGGCTACCCAAAATGGGGGGCTACATAGGCAAGAAATGACTGGATTACAAGCTTTCAAGAGGGAACCTAGATCCAGAGGGTGCAGAGGAAGGTAGTATCCAGTCTGTCTGGGCAGGGATGCTGAAAGGAGATGGGGATAGGACTTTTGTGGTACAACAGTGAATAATTATTATCAGAAGTGACTGTGAGGGTTGGAAATGTAAAGGTAGATATTTTCTAGCAAAAGAAGGGGAGTGGTTGACTTTGCAGTCCAGGAGCAGAGGTCCCTGGGACCATCAAGGGAGAAGAGCTTAGTGTGGGACCCTACCCAGAGAAACAGTGACACTAGAGATGGAGGCAGAAATGATGACATGGAGAGATGGAGCAACTGGGGACTCTAGAACCAGAGAGGGAGAGGGTCTGTATGGTGATGCCAGAGGGGCAGTCTTGTGGGGTATACCCTTTGGTTGTTTGATGATGCATGGAAGGAATTGTAACCATGACAATGAAATTATATAAGATAGGATGAATGTAAAGCTAATGTTCTCCCATGTAAACTATCACATAATTCACAATAAAACTTTTTTAAATACCACAAGTGGATGGCTTTAGCACACAGAAATTTACTTCCTCACAGTTGTGGAGGCTGGATGTCTGAATTCAGGCACCGGCTCAGGGATGGATAGGTCTTCTCTCCCTGTTGGCTTTTGGGGAAGGTCCTTGTATCTTTAGTTTCTAGTCCTTGACTCCTTGGTGGTCTTCATGTGACATTACATTTACCTTCCCTAACTCTGTTTGTTTGCTCAACTTGCTCTTTTATAGTTCAAATGAGATTGAATAATTCAAGACACACACTATACTAACAATACCCTATTATAGTAACAAACAAAACCCATTCCCAAATGGGACTATAAACCACTCCAGGAATTAAGATTTACAATGCATGTTATTTGGGGACACAATTCAGTTTGGAACACCCACCTTGACCACCTTGAGCACTTTGATGGGAGAGTTCCGGAAGCAGTTCTCCCTCAGGAACGAGCAGATGGTGTTGACAGCCTTGTTCACCTGGTCCAGGAACTGGCGAGTGGGCTGCAGAAACTCACTGATGAACTTGTTGAGGTCCCCGGCCGGGGTTTGGTAAAGGAGGGTGGGCTGCGCAGAGCATACCGGGGGACCAACTCAAGACAGGACTCCCCAGGATCACCCCAGCCCTGCCTCTGGCTGTCCTGTGGGGACAAGACTCTGGTCCCTCTCACCCCCTTCTCTTCCTTCTCATGGGTTGACAAGTCCTTGAGGTAACATCAGAGGGCTCCAAGTTCCAGATCTGGTTTCATCACCAACACAGACCCTGAGTTTCCCCAACTTTACATGGGGCAGTCCTCTGGGTGGGTTTGGGTGTTAAACTTCGGTCATAAGATCTCTGCAGAGCAGCAGGTGTGGACAAGAAGGATCCCTGCTGGAGCAGCAAGTGGCTCAGGTATGCAATTGGATTTCTTAAAAGCAAAGCCTGAGACATGGGTTCTTTGTTGTTATTAAGTGCCATCAAGTGAGTTCCGACCATACCGACCCAGTATAGGGTTTTCAAGGTGCAACTGGTGAATTTGAACCACTGACTTTGTGATTCAAACCTACCTTGATGTCCTGCGCTACACCTGATTAATTGGGGGCATGCACATGAGAGCAGAGGAGTGTGGAAAGCAGGAGAGGGTGGGAAGGAGCTAAGAAGAGAGATTTCAGCTGAAAAGCAGCTTTGTCCTGATCCAAGGCAGCTCTGGAACACTCATTGCATCTCAGAGTTGAAATGAGATAAGACAAGGTTGGGCCTTTTGTGCTCTCATGCCACTCAGGCAAGGAGCCCTAGTGTTGCAGCCATTCAGAGCTCAGCTGCTAACCAAAATGTCTGTGGTTCAAACCCACCTGCTGCTCTTCTGTAAAGATGACAGCCTTGGAAACACTAGGGGGCAGTTCTACTTTGTCCTAGTGGGTCGCTATGAGTCAGAATGGACTTAATGGCAGCAGATTTGGCCATTCAGGCACTAGGCTGGGTGCATAACAAAATGCCGCTCTTGTGGAGGGAGGTCTCTAGAAATGAGGCAGCTGTGGGCCTGGGGAGGGGCATGCAGAAAGGGGAGGGACACGACAAGTAAAGAGGAGGGATGTAGAGAGGTGTAGGGGAAGGAGCACCAACAGCGTCCATCAGCCCGGAACTTGCCACTTACCATTACATCCCAGGGCAGCACAGGCGTCCCATCTCCATTCACAAAGCAGGCCTGCGTCTCCAAGGCTGCTGCTTCCTGGGCCAACAGCTCCCAGTTGCCCTCGCCCACATTCCAGGTGGGGTCAGCTGGGTCCAGGACTAGGGGTCTGGTGTCAGAATGGGTGGGCAGGAGAGTGGGAAATAGTGAAGGAGAGAGTCTGGGAAGGGGCGTGTGTTCTAGGGAGAGGGAGAAGAAGCGCATCAGGAACTCAAGGTTGCAATTTATCAGAAGCAAGGCCCTCAGCCTGGAAGCTACTGGGTGTGGGGTGGGGGCGGGGTGGGGTGTGTGTGTTGGGGGGCGGGTAGGGGGCTTGTTGGCTGCAGAACCTGCTGGAAGGTGAGGAGATGGCTTGTCCAATCAGGCTAAAATACAGCCCTGAGACTTGTGCATACCTACAACAGAGTAGCAGCCAAGTGTCTAAAGCATTTACTTATGAGTGCCCACTCACTTAATCCTCTCATCAACCTTCTGAGATCAGGATGATTATCACTGTTCTAGTTCCACAGGCTCAGAGAGGGAAAGTCACAGCAAGTAACTGGTAGTGCTGGGATTTGAACACAGGCCCTTAGGCTTCAGAGTCTGGGCTCTTAGCCCCTAAGTTCTACCCAAAGAGGCAAGTGTACAGACTCCTATGGAGGTCTATATATGGGTTTTTAGTTTTCCATAAAAAAAAGTCTCACCTGAGTGAGCTCAGGCAAAGCACTTGCTTTGGGAAGATGTGCCAAGCACTGTTTTGAATAACTGTGGGGGTGGGGATAACTCCTATCTAGAAAGCTCAATATAAGAGAGTCAAGTATCACACTGGCTTGGAGCATGGGCGCTGGAGCCAATTGTCTGTATAAATCCCAGCTCTGTGCCCCCCAGACAGATGCAATGACATCGAGGGTGAGGGGTGGGAATGGGTAGGATGTAGGATGGGCAGTGGGTTTACACCTGGGTTTCTGGAGCTGGCCAAGCACGTGCGTTCTTAGAGCTGGATCCTCAAGGCCATAGTTGACAGTCCAATACACACAAAGCTGCCGGTGCTGCTGGACCAGCCCCAGGACAGTCCGGAAGCCTTGGGCCATGTGGAAGCTCTCCTTCTTGCAGCCCTGCTCCCAGGCGAAGATGGTGAGGAGCTCCAGGGCATAGGCTGGTGGCAAATACACACGGGATGGCTGTCCTCCTTGGTTTTGAGCTGCAACCTGTCATTCAAGGTCAACCAAAGACTAGTGGGTATGAGCACCTACTATATACTGAGCAGAGGGGAGGGGAGGAGATATTAAAGGTAGAACCACAGAAAGAACAGAATCTTGGTGAAGGTCATGCTCAACCTTCTTTTACAGGTGGGTTACTCAAGATCTAAAGATGGGGGTGATTTGTCCAAGGTCACACCTTGAAACTACAGAGCTTAGACTAGAACTTGGAGCTTGCTGGAGTGCTCCACCAAGGAGTGTCAGAGGTGATTTACAATCTAGAATGGGACTCTGCTGTATTAATCTTGGTATCCCAGCACCTCTCATAGCAATTAGCTATAGAGGGTGCTCAGAAGATGCTTATTGAACAAATGAGTTCATGAATGTGAACTGGCCTTCAGAGATAATGTCTAGGAAGGGAGCACAGAGTTAATCTAAAGGTGGTAGGTACTTGAGTAGGGAAAAACAATTCCACTGACCTGTAGGAGAATGGTTTTAAGTGGAATTCTTTTAAATGTAAAACATTTATGAAAAGCAAGATAAAGAACATGATGTTGTCTCTGTATTCATTTTATTTTGGAGGACCTATATCTTAGATGAAAATTAAGACCAATCAGATTAAACTCTACCCACACCATCCTGTATTTTAAGATCTAAGTTTAACTGGTCAACAGCTATTAGTACACATAAAGTGTGATGAGCTTTGTTACCAACTCTTTTACATCTCTCTGCCCCTTCAATTTCATCTTTCAGCCTCTTCTCTTCCGTATTCTTTGGTTTGTATGTGGTTTCTCAGTTAATATATAGCTAATAGCTCTTATTTTTCTTAGGCTTTTAACTGTTTAGGTCTATCTGGATGTAAGGAAGAAAATACATTTGATGGAAATACTTGTATATGTTTAAAGACCCAATGGCTCCTTTGGAGCTTGTACATTCAAGAATGATTAATCTGTGTAATAAACTGATCACTGCAGTCATTACATATAACTGTGTGAATAGGCTTCTTGATTTTAACTTTATCTAGCTGAGATTAGTGGTAGATTTTCCCTCACCTCTGAGATGTTTTCATTATATTGGTTGCATTTTAAAATCATGAAATAATTCCAGCTTACAGAATAAAAAGGCTATTTTAACAGCAATTTTACTGAACAAGATAAGTGCAGAATCTTAAAAGTATTTCCATACAACTCACATGTGCAGCATTCCAGGAACATAACTGCTAAACTGAATAAGAAATTTGCTTTATTAAGGAAACTAATAAAGCTGCCCACCACTCATCTGTCAGTTTGTTGTACTGTGGTGGCTTGTGAATTGCTGTGATTCTGGAAGCTATGTCACAGGTATTTTAAATACCAGCGGGGTCACCCACAGTGAACAAGTTTCAGATGAGCCTCCTGACGAAGACAGACGACAAAGAAGGAGAAATGAACTACTTCTGAATATTTAGTCACTGAAAACCTTATGAATAGCAGTCAGATATAGTGCCTGAAAATGAGCTCGACAGGTCGGAAGGCACTCAAAATGCGACTGGGAAAGAGCTGCCTCCTCAAAGTAGACTTGACTGTGATGATACGAATGGAGTAAAGCCCATGGGAGTAAAGCCCTTGGGATCTTCATTTGCTGATGGGGCACAACTCAAAATGAAGAGAAGAATTTTACCAACATCTTCAATCTGAAATTGATCAAATATGCAATCAAGATATACTGATTAAAAAAAAAAAGAGCTATATTGATTATTACTGGTGATTGGAATGCAAAGGTTGGAAACAAACAGGAAGGATCAATAGTTGGAAAATATGGCCTTGGTGATAAAAATGATGCTAGAGATTGCATGAAAGAATTCTGCAAAACCAGTGATTTGTTCATTTCAAATACCTTCTTTAAACAGCATAAGAGACGACTATACACATGGACTTCGCCAGATGGAAAACAGAAATCAAATTGATTACATCTGTGAAAAGAGATGGTGGAAAAACTCCATATCATCAGCCAAAACAAGGCCAGGGGCAGACTGTGGAACAGACCATCAATTCCTCATATGCAAATTCAGAATGAAGCTGAAGGAAATGAAAACAAGTCTGTGAGAGCCAAAATATGACCTTAAATATATCCCACCTGAATTTAGAGACCATCTGAAGAACAGACTTGAAGCATTAAACACTAAAGACTGAAGACCAGAAGAGTTGTGGGATGACATCAAGAACATCATACAGGAAAAAAGCACAAAGTCATTAAGAAGAGACAAGAAAGAAGGAAAAGGGAAATGCCTGGGGACTTCCGGTACGGCAGGACAGTCAGAAAAGGTAGGGACTTGCTCCGGCGGAAAAAACAAGTGGGATCTCGCAAAGGAAACATTCATAGACCCAGCCCCACGACTTTTGAACTATCATAATCTCTCCTGGGCTCACATTTTTGAGAAACCGCACTAACAAGGATAAAGAAAAGTGATTATTTTGGGACTCTTTCCTGTGAAGACTGCGGGTCACTCCTGCCACTGCAGAGTTTAGAAAGCGGGACCAGGGCCGGCCCACTCGGACAGCTGCGTCTCCCAGAAGGGCCAGAGGCGATATAACTTCCTCCTGCCCCAAGTCTCCCCACCCTGGCTTGAGACCCCAATAAAAATCAGCCGGGTACAGGTCACCCACGCACAGAGAGAGTGAGGAATTCTGGAGGGTGTAAAAAAGGCTGTGGCGGCTTCTTGATGTCACCCATCATCCCCCAACTGTCTCTGCAGCTAAGCCCCCTGCCCCCACTCATAGCTAGCAGTGGGATCTCACAAAGGGGGTGTTCATACACCAGTCCCACGGCTTTTAGACTATCATAGTCTCTCCTGGGCTCACATTTTTGAGAAACTGCACTAACAAGGATAAAGAAAAGCGAGTATTTTGGGACTCTTTCCTGCGGAGACTGCAGGTCACTCCTGTGACTGCAGAGTTTAGAGAGCGGGACACAGGGCCGGCCCACTTGGACAGCTGTGTCTCCCAGAAGAGCCAGAGGTGATATAACTTCCTCCCGCCCCAAGTCTTCCCGCCCTGGCGTGAGATCCCAATAAAAATCAGCTGGATACAGTGCACCCACGCACGTAGAATTCTTGTTGACTACACATCCATCCCTCCTGGAGGTGGGAACTTATCCTCCCTACGTCCCATAAGAAGAAATAGCGATCGTAGCCATATAGTCAAGCTACAACATAATACTCCACCACTTATACGAGACCCAACAACATTTGCTACGATTTACAGACGAAAAGGAAAGACCATCTCCTGACCACATTAATAACACTAATAATATTAATAATAAAACAATAACCATGACCAATAAGAAACAATCAACTTTATCAAACCATGTCCAAAAACAGAAGAAAGGACCTGATGCAAATGAACTGGAGACAGACAAAGCCTTCATAGAGGAGGAGGAGCAAGTTTTGGATATGCCTAAGAGGAAATTCAGAAGAATGATATGGAAACAAATTCAAATAATCCGAAAAGGGGTCGAGGAAAATAAGAAGTAAAAAAAATTCTCCAGGAACAATCAAACAGGATAGACGCAGACAGCATTGGAAACAATTCAAAACCTGCAAAAAGATGCCCAGGTGATCAACGATAAGATGTCAGAAATAGACAATAGCATTAAAGGAGAAAGGAGCAGACTAGAAGAGATGGAAGCCAGAACTAGCGAGCTGGAAGACAGATCTCTCAATACTGCCAAGGTAGAAGAACAAGTAGCTAAAAGGATAAAACAATCTGAAGAGAGTCTAAGATTCATGCTGGATAACATGAAGAGGAATAATGTAAGAATTATTGGCATTCCGGAACAAGAAGAAACAAATCCACAGAAGAGACCGTGGAAAATCTTCTGGAAGAAAATTTCCCTAACATCTTGAAAGACTAAAGGATAAGCTTTCAAGAAGCCCAACGTTCTCCAGGAAGCATAGACACCAGAAGAAAATCTCCAAGACATATAATAATCAAGCTCTCAAAAATCAAAGACAAGGAAAGAATATTAAAAGCAGCCAGGGAGAAGAGAAATATAACCTATAAAGGCATGCAAATAAGATTAAACTCTGACTATTCAGAACAAACCATGCAGGTGAGAAGGCAATGGGGAAACATATACAAAGCTCTGCAAGAAAAAAAACTGTCAACCAAGAATTGTCTATCCAGCAAAATCAAATATGATGGTTCGATCAAAACATTCCAAGATAAACAGAATTTGAGAGATTTTATCAAAACCAACCCAGCACTTCAAAACATCGTAAAGGGAGTTCTGTGGACAGAGAACCAACAAGAACAGACAACAAACAGAGATTGACAAGTATGGCAACACCACCTGGAACACACCCAACAGATAGCGGAGTCCAGAACAGAATGAGATAACAACGACAAAAACAAAAGAACAGGGAGATCAATTGAAGGCCAAAAACATATCAATGTCAAAGAAGGGACAAACGCAGCAATGGAAGCCCAGGTGGTGAGGATGCCAGGTAAATTACAGGTTACAATGGAGTATCCTAAATGCAGAGAGAAGTTACTAGACTACAAGGTAACCCCAAAGAAAGCTAACACTCCACAACATATCATAAAAACGAATTCCAAGGAGATCAAGCAAACAGAGAAACTAGCAGGAAACCGACCAAAAACAACTCAGAAGACATAAAGCCAACACAAGAAAGAAAGCAGAACCAAAGAATGATCAACATCGCTAAAAAAGTAACATAATGACAGCAATCAATTTGTACTTATCAATAATTACACTGAATGTCAATGGATTGACTGCACCAGTGAAGAGACAGAGAGTGGCAGAATGGATAAGAAAACAAGATCCATCAATATGCTGCCTGAAAGAGACACACCTAACATACAAGGACAAAAGCAGACTAAAAGTTAAAAGGATGGAAGAAAATTTACCAAGCCAACTGTAACACTAGACAAGCAGGGGTCGCCATATTAATCTCCAA